AGCATGGCCAGAGAAGCGGTGCATCGGTGCAGGCCCAGGATCCGAACCCGGGCCGCCAGTAGCAGAGGGCGCGCACTTAACCACTAAGCCACGGGGCCGGCCCAGACTCACTGGCTTTAAATCTCAGTTTAGCCACTTGCTAGGTCTAGGAATAAAATCTGGCCCTATGAAAGAATATGTCAACTCTCACCAAAGTAAAAACAATAGACAAAGTACCAGATTTATTTTTTCACTCCAGAGAGAGGAATGGTTCTGGTCTCCTTCACTTATGTGCACCAAAAAAAAAAAAAAGTAAAAGATTCAAGATCCCATGACTTACCACTTCCCCTAAAGTTAAGAAACAGGAATTTGTGGGTTATTTTTATAATAAACACAGTGGACAAACTCTTAGGCAATCCTAATCATACCCTGACACTCAAGGTCAAATAGTATATTTTACTAAGTTATTCCTTTCTCCATCATCATATAATGAATTTAAGGCTTTAAAACTATCTGAAGACTACAAAGGTTTTTATGACTAAAATTAATTCTGTTATCACCTAGCTAGGAACAGATGAGCAAGAGAAAACACTTTGCTTTAGATGGACTATACTTAAAGACATATGACACCAATCTGATTGCTAATACATAAAAATGCACTTACAGTTGTGATTAGAAATTAATACCAAGATATTGTGGCCATAAATCTGAACTAAAAAGTGATATTTAGAATTAACAGTGAAATGGCATAGTAAAATAAAAGAAAGCACTTATTGGCCAAAATGGAACTAGCTGTATACGAATAATTTAAGACTAATAGTAGTGTGTTAATAATATTAATATATTTATTAATAATAAGTATTATATACTTTATATTATTACTTTAATACTATTAAATTAATGATTAATTTAATAATTCAATTAGAATTCTTAGAGCAAATAATTTTATCACCAAAAAAAAAAATAGACACCTTCTTTTTTTCCTACCATTATAAGTGCAAGGATCAACAAAGGAGATTACACTTGGAACTCTTTAACAACTAAGCTCTCTGTAAGCTTTTATCAGCTCAAGGATCAATTTTTAAGTATCCTCATGCCACTAGAGGTCAGCTACAAATTTATCCTAAATAGTCCTGAGAATTTTCTTTAGAGGGCTCTCCATTGTGGAATTCTTTCTCTCTGTTCTTATATCTCTGTTGACAGTTTTTCAAGTCTTAACAGAAGCCCTTTTAATGCTCTCCTCTCCTGAGTGGCAGGTAGTGCGCTTCAGGTGAACACTCAAGAGAGCAAAAACCATTTTCCTCACAATTTCAAGAAGTATACAGTGCTCTGCAAACTCTCAGGTGGGAGTAGGGGAGGGAAGTAATTCCACTATTATTCCCTCCCTATCTGCTTTGGTTGGGACATCAAATACACAAGTAGAATCAGCAGCAATTACAACAGCATAAAAGAAAACACCTTAATTTTTTGCAAACAAAATCAACTAAGGCAAATGACCAGGCTAAAACAATTTCCCTAAGATGTGAAATAACCCATTTATTTCAATTAGTAAATTGTTAAAGTGCACTCCTGATTATAGGTCTGGAAAACTGGACTTCTACACTAGAGAATTATAAAGTAAAAATAGGCAAAAAAAATTTAAATCCTTGAGCCATAGCTGGATAATTCTAAATGTGGGCAGAAAACATGAGACAAAGTGCAACTAATTGGCTCAAAATGAGCATATTTTATCCTCATTTCTTTCAAGGAAAGAAGTATCTGTGAAAACTGATGTAATCTACCAATATCCCACATATTTGAGCCCACAAAGATGAGGAAATCATTTCAATTTTCTAACAGTGCTGGAGAAACTAGGAACATATTTATGAAACCAGAAACATCTTACCCTTTCACTTTAATGAAACACATTCTAAAGGTATTGATACTTTTCCTGCCCTACTATCTCAGCAAGTAAGTAAGCAA